AGCTCGCACGGAAACCGGGCAGGGGCCTTTCTTCGCCTCCCCCCCCTCCCGCCGCTCCCAACTGTCGTCGTGCTCTTCGATGGCCGCCTTCGCTGCTGCTGCCGCCGCCTCCTCCTCCTCCACCACCACCGCCGCCGCCGAATCCCAGGGCCGGGGTGAGAAAGAGAGTAAGAGCGGGGCGGTGGGGGGGAAGAGGCAGGTTAAGTCACCCGGAAGCGGAAGATAAGACGTGCCTGCTGTCCGCCTGGCTGTCCGGGGGAGCGGCGGTGACGGCGGGCGGCGGAGGAGGAGGAGGAGGAGGAGGAGGAAGCGGCGGCGGCGGCGGGTCCAGGCCCCGGAACGACTCGATGCCCAAGAAGCAGCAGAAACAATTCGTTCGCATATGAGGGAAGAGAGCGAGAGCGAGCGAGCGCCAGGGAGACCCACGAGCCCCGCTTCCGGCTCCGGGCGGAAGTCCCGCCCCCAGAGGCGGAAGAGATTGGCCTACGCCTGAAGGTTCGGCCCCAACCCTCCTCACCATTCGCACGCCGCGGCTTCTTTCTATCTCCTCCTCTCTCTCTCTCGCCCGCCTTCTCTCCTAGAGGCGAAAGCAAGAGGCTACGGGTGGAGGGGGGGAAGGAGGGAAATAGGCCGGCAACCTTCCGCGCGCCTGATTGGCCCGCGGCGGGGACCGCGCGCGCGAAACGCGGCGTGACGTCTTTCAGCGGGGCACGTGAGCGAGAGTGGGTGACGTCACTCCCTTTTGGAGATGAGCGCGAGGTAGTGGGGCGTGGTTTCGGAGAAGGCGCTTTTCTTGGGCCGGTGGGTGAGTTTTCATTCTTTCCGAAGAATCCCTTCCAGTTACAAAGGCGACGGCTGCTTCTCGCGGAACTTTGTCTTCCTCTCGGATTCCGTAGGAGGGAGGGGGGGACGTCCAAGAGGCTGAAGCGGGGCCTACCCGGAGCATTTGTACGCTTTTCTTTTCAAGTTCTCCTTATGAAGCAGAAAAGTCGCTACATTTAAATGCTAGAAGGATCAGACCATTAAATTGACAATTAGTGGGGTTTGGTGGTCTGTGAATGAGCCTGGCGTTGCAGTCAGCTGGTAAAGCTGATCCAGGACTGTGGTAATTTCATCTTTGTCACCCTAGGGCACAATTTGTAGGCATTTCCTGAGGTTTTCGACTGGAATTTTATAAATACTTACTTGAGAGTGAGACCCTCCAGATTCATTGGCGCTGCCTGCAAACTTGACATGTCTAGGATTGCACTTTAAAAAAAAATCAGTTGAAGATGCTGACATTTATCTGCTGTCCCACTTGATCTTTCACAGAGAAATAAATTGCTCCCTACCCCAGTTATCAAGACTATAGATAAAATCCAGTGTTCTGAAATTAATGTAAGCATCTATGCTGAAAGCTTTAAAATTGTGTAATACTGATAATGATATAGGGTACTGTTCTATGTGCACTTAAATTGGGGACTGCTGTCACTTAAGAGAGAGCGAAAGTACTGTATGTGAATAAAAAGATCAGGCCTCAAAATTAGCATTATAAGAATGTCAAAAATGATAAAAGAAGAAGATGTAACAGGACTAATAGAAAATTTACAGATTTTTTTTCCTGTCCCGTGTAAACAAGGGACCGCCCAGACTAAGCAACCTGAGGGCTTCTGAGTAAATATGTATAAATTATCAGCATTTCTGCAGTGGCGCTAGATTGGAGCAAATACTGTACTCTGAAGGTCTCTCCCAATTCTATGGTTTTTAGGTTCTTGCCACATAGCGGAGAAAGCGAGATTTGTTAGAACCAACTCCTGGAATTTATATACTGTAGTTTGATCCAGTGCATGATTACTTTTAAGTCCAATTTTGCTGAAATGGACCAGCTTCCAAGTAAATGGGTTATAGCCGTTATCACTGTGTGGGGCTAAATTACATAATTATGTGTGTGCTATATGGACACCCCCCCCCAAGGATCAACAAATAAAACGAATACCATATTTATGTAAGTAATCTGATTAGACAGGTTTTGACTGTCAGGTAAAAACTATATAGAGTTGGCACCATTTGTTCTAATTAGAAACAGAATTTAGTATACTGGTCTGAAAGTTCAAGTGATAATAATGTAGCCCACAGTCCATATTACTGCCATACTTTTTTCCTGACCTTTCCCTTTAAATCTGAGGAGAAGTTGTGAAGAGGCTATGAACGGACTCTTTTAAAAAACAGCTCTTTTTAGTGTCTTTTATCACATTTGGGTCTTTGCTATAATGCCTGTGGATATTCATGCTTTTAAAGAACTAGATTCTTCCATTTGGATTTTGATAAACATGAAAAGAAAAAAGTATAATTTTGTTTTTAATTCTTTAATAGGGAGTGGTTATGGATTGTTTTGGAGTTATAATGGGAGTTACAACAACTGATTCATATACATAATATATGACTAAGTGCTGTAGCAGCTGTGAAATTAATTTTAGTGTCTGAAAGCATGAGCAAAGGTGTATAATACATTTTTCTTAAAACACTTAAACAATAAGAATCAATTGCTCTTGAAAACCTGTAACCAATTAATACTTATTAAACTCTGGTGTGTTCTGTTGAGTTTAAATGATATTAAAATGTTTTAAATTAAGAATATATTAAAATGCTTTAAATAAATAGTATCTGGATGTTTCTTTAGATAACAAAAAACAACACACAAGCTAAAAATACATGTAAACATCCATCCAATTAATTGTTAGACATGGTACATTTTACTCTAAATCAGAATAATTTACCTGCCTTAAGACCATTTGAATCAGTTGTCTACTCTTAAAATGTAAGATTGTTGTTTTTTCTTTCTAAAAATCTAGTAGGTGTAGTTTCATAATTATATATATTATTTGTCTGAATCCTTTCCTCTCAATACCCATAAAGCAAAGATATTTAAATTTTTACATAAAAAAAACACAGCCTTAACATATTAAGAAAAGCAGTGTGGAAAAATATGAATCCACAAACTATTTTACTAAGTCTTCACATACTTTTCAATGAGATAAAAGAAAAGAGAGCTAGGGTTGGAGTAAAAGTTTCTCTGGCTGCTCACTTGGAAGAAGTTGTTACTACAAAATTCTGTCTGAGTTTCCATTATTAAGTGTGGCCTGGTTGTATCTGACTTCAGTTCTATTATTCTTGGTACTCCTTTGCACACAAATGTTGAGATAACAGTGCCTGTGACTTTGATAAGGAAAGCAACCCTGTATCTTTTTTGTTTTGTCACCAAAGTAATTTGATTAGAGGAAATAAGAAATGGTCAGTATTCAAATCTATAGTGCAAAAAATATGTCCCAGTTCTGGATGAAAGGTGTTATATTAATTATGAATGAATGAATGAAAAGCTACTTAAACTCGAGTTATAGTTCATGATAACAAAGCCAAATTATCATTCTACTCAGAATTTACTTTTAGGTAAGTGTAAAAAGAGAATAAACTGTGTGTAATTTATTACCACATTTGATTTAGGTATCTGGCTGCAGAGCCAGGGGTTGGAAGTTTGATTTCCCCATTGTGCATCTTGTGGATAAAGCCAGCCTGTGTGGCCTTGTGTAAGCTGCACAGTCCCAGGGTGCCTCCAGAAGCAGGAATGGTAAATCATCTCTGTATGTTATCTACCTGAAAAACTCAGAGAAGGATCACCATAAGTCAGAACTGACTTTATGGCTGTGATTGGGTTCTTGTTCAAGGTTAAGCAGCACCATAAGTCAGAACTGACTTGATGGCTGTGATCGGGTTCTTGTTCAAGGTTAAGCACTTCCTCTTCTTGAATGAGATTTAGCACAGGAGACACATTAACATTAACCAAAGGCTTCATCTCTTTCAATGGGGAGGGATGTACAACAACTTCAGTGGGTCCAAAGGGACCAGCAACCATGGACATTTCAGGCCACATTCCTGGTAGGCCTGTCATAACGAAAGGGTCCTTCAACCGGGGGAGGGGGACATTCATAATCTCTTGGGGTTGGTAGATCTCCTCGATGGTTGACTCCTCACTGCACAGATAGTCCCACAACAAGGGTGTCAAGCCCAGTCTCCCTCGGGATGTGTCATGAGCCATCGGGATAAGATCTGGATGCACCACCTTCTTCCAGGGATCCTTCCCTCTTGGATAAACATAAACAGTCCATTCCAATGGCTCCATTTCACCCCACTGAATTTCAATGCACACACTTCCTCGTCCTTGCAAGATACTTTTTCCTTTCTCGCTTTTTGCCTCTCCATTACGTGGAAATGAGAACACACAGGGCCCTTCCTCTCCTTTAGACAACGCTTCCTCTTTCTTTCTGTCTGTCTCTGGACTCTCCCACTCCTCTGAGCCCCTGCTCTTCTTTCTTTTCTCTCTGTCCCCCATGTCACTAACCCTCCTCTCCTCCTCTGTCATTAAGAAGCCCTCAACTATTGGCTGTTCTTTTCCTGCCCTTTTCTTCCCTTCTTCCTCTGCTTTCTGACCTTCCCCTAGAACCAGGTTCTGACCCATAGCGGGTAGAGTAGTCAAGATGGTGTAGCCTCCTTCTGCCCTAGATGATTGAGAGGATGGCTCGCTTCTAGGTTTAACGGTACTGACTGGTTCCTCTTCACAATGGCATATGATTATTATTATTTAGATATAGCATTTGTCCTATATATACAAAGCTCTTTATATTCCACAGCCCATGTCTTTGTACCTCTTGCAATAGTTACTATATTATCTCTATATTATAGATGGGAAAGCTAGGAAGAAGCGTAGACCCCTTGAGATTTTGACTGGATGCTTGGAGCTTGCAGTTTACGCTCTGAACAACTGATTCATCATATTCATTCTTATGCTCTTCTGTAGATGTTTCTCATCAATTTTTCCTTCCTTTCTCAGCTGCTATTAGAAGCAGTTCACTCACCATCCGCAATTTAATCAAAGCAATACAATTTTTTCTGTTTTAGCTTTGTGCCAAATAGCCTTCACTGAATCACGTTGTATTTCTTCCACAGAAACTATATAAAGGAAAGAAAATACGTTTGAATATGAGTGTGTACTGTGATCCTTTATGACCACATTTATGATACCTACAGCAAACCTAATATGTAAAAACAAAAGAAAACATGAAGTTTTATGCATAGATTTTCATGGTTGTGTAGTATGAAACACACAGGAGCTGAAATTCAGGAGGTGATCACAACTGGAATAGGATCATTGAATCAGTGGAATGTACAGAGGAGTTGACTCACCAATCCTCCACTGATTCAGCAGGCCTACTCTCGTTGTAAGAGAGGCTTGTCATCCCGCCTCCTGCCAGGAGTGGCTAATCCATTGCAGACAATGGCGCGATAAGAAGGTTCCGCCGAGCTCGCGTCCGTGGCGAAATGATGAGTTATTTCCTCCTGTGTGTGTGGGGGGGGATATTCATATACGAATACCCCCATCTCTACTTTTAAGTCAGCCCCAGACAGAAACTTCTGGACAGAACTGTCCAGACATTTGATGAGGACAGAAAGACCCAATCCCCCACCTATTTCCTGGCCTTCATCCTGAGCTATGGAGTCTCTAGC